CTTTTGACTTTTATCCGTTTTGACTTTTATCCATTTGACTTTTTTCCGTTTGACTTTTATCCATTTTGACTTTTTGCATTTGACTTTTTGTCTTTTGACATTTTGTCTTTTGACTTTTTGTCCTGGAATCCTTTTTGTGGCCACTATCGAAATTTTGTTTATTCGCCTCGCCGCGCCACTTTCGTAGTTAGGCACTTCCGCTTAGCTGGCTTTCTGCTGTTTTCAATAAATTGATTTAATAAGGGATGGTCAGTAAAATCAATTTTGTTTTTTTTTCATAAATATTTTTTTAAGATTTAAATTAAACATGATTGTTTTATAAATTCTCGTAAAAAATCAGTGTTGACATGAAATTGTAATTTGTAAGACACTTGATAAATTACGGCAACTACGCAAGTGTGCTTAGTTACGGAGGTGTAAACAATTCCAGTTTTGGTTTTGTGAAACGGCTTCATTTGCGCTCCGTGGTTTGAAAGGGTGTGAATTACGGAAAGTTGTAAGTTACGGCAGAGCTTTATGAAACGAGGCCCTGGGGGTGTTGACCTGACCGTGACCTGAGGTCAACACCCTAAGTTGAACCTGACCCAAACAAAAAGTATATCATTCGACGCGCCTGAGCGAGGCGAATACGATGCTGCCAAAATCGTGGCTCTGCGGCCGTTTTTTGCGAAGTTATTCACCTAAAACTGAACCGTACCTTGGGGCACTTGACCTGACTTCAGAGGTCACCGGTTGACCTAGGACTTTAAAATCGGGTACCAATCTCTGCGTCTCGTAACGGCGCACACGCTCGTTTTTTTCCGCGACGCGCTAGCTCCACCAGGGGCGAAACGGCGAGGGGGGGTCGTACCCGCCCCCCCCCCCTCGGCCGGCGCGTATGTAGAAAACAAATAGGTCCGGCGAGGGTTAAAACTCAAGAATCAATACAGTTTTTGGCATGTTATTGATCATCAATTTTTTACTATCATATCTTCACTCATGCCAACCATCCAAACGATTAACAAACTGTCTACCTTTCTTCCTTTCCGAGATGATATGGCGTGGACAAATACGACCCCCTTCCTCCCACCACCATGGCGAAGTTGGCTGAGAGACCCACACGAGCGTGGGTTAAAGAGGCTCATGGGTGAATGAAATGATGCATCATTATGTGCACTCAGATAGGTATGAGTATATCGCCACTCATCTCACAGTCTCTACTACCATGAACATCATTGTCATATCTTCATGTGCTTTGATGATGCTTTGATGATGTCATTGATTTACTGCTGAACTTCATCTTAAATATACAATACATATTGTTAAATCAACCAACAAGCTGCATTAACCTTCCAGGCGGTGGGGGGGGCATTTTTTTGCCCCCCCCCCCCTTTAGTTTTTTCGATATATCTCGAGAACCGCTGCGCCGATCGTCACCAAACTTTCAGTACCCTCCCGGAAGTAGCTAGCGCACATGCTGACCAAAATTTTTTTTCCAAAGGCTATGATAGGTTGGCCGCTAATGACGTCAGAGTGACGTCATTTTTTGCCATTTTCGACCCAAAAAAAGGTTTTGCGGGAAGAGCTGTCAGGCCTACAGCTTTAGAGATACAGAAAAATGATTTTGACATAAAAGGTGTAGAATCAAGAGGGCTACAAAACTGCTATTTCGGTTTTTCGAATTTTTTGGATTTTGACCCCCAAAAATCAAGAAATAGATTTTTTGAAAATAATAGCCGAAAAATCCAAAAAGTTTTTTTGAATTTAGAAAAAACCGGAATTAGACTCCCCGTGACGAGCTGCATCGAATCGATACCCATTTTATGCAAAAATATCAACTTTTAAATTTGACCTTTTTTGACCTGACCTTGACCTGACCTCCACCCCAGAAAGTGACCTAAACCGTACCTGATGGTCTTATAACCAATACCATTGAGTTGGAAATGAAAAACTGGCCATAAAACATGCATCGCACAGCCTTAGTAAAGTCGGGTTCATGTGGTGACCCTTGGTGACCTTTGGTGACCTGACCTGTTACCTGACCTGGTATGATAGCAACATATGTACTAGACAACTGACGCCTTATCGCTGATTTTCGACAAAATGCGTTTTACTCGGTGTTATAGCACTTTCCCTAGAAGTCCCGTGAACGGTGAAACATTTTATCTTTGACCTGACCTGTGACGTCATCGGTGACCCCGAGGTCAATGAAATTTGTTTTCCTTCAACAAATTTGACAGGGCTGTGGAACGCCGTTTGAATTTTCCGGATCCGTCCAGTAGTTTCGGAGATACGAGGGGGGGGGCAAAAAATGCCCCCCCCCCACCGCGCGGAAGGTGGCTGGTAGGCCCACCGCCTGCCGGGTTAATCGAATTCGCAATCATGAAGAGAAACGTCATGAGACCTGTAAAACTACATGATAGTAAAGCCGAATGCGATCAAGAAATGATGAGTTTGAGCGCAGTGGCAAAGCCGTTCTCGAGATGTGAAAGTGGCCCCGCTCGTGTGCACGTGCAAACTGGACCCAAACGGACTTGAGCACAGCACCCTCCTAAACGGTTGCTACCGGTGTACCAAATTGAGCGCAATCTCACCAACCGTTCTCGAGATGTGGAAGCGGCCCCTGCGCGTGCGCACGTGCAAGCTGGACCCAAACTGACTTGTGCACGGCACCCAGCCAAACGGTCCCTAACGGTGTACCAAATTTGAACATAATCTGCCCAGCCACTCTCGAGATGTGGAAGCGAGCCCTGAACGTGCGCACGTGCAAACTGGACCCAAACTGACTTGTGCACGGTACCCAGCTAAACGATCCCTAACGGTGTACCACATTTGAGCGCAATCTGCCCGGCTGTTCTCGAGATGTGAAAGCGACCCCTGCACGTGCGCACGTGCAGCAGCACCCCAACCGTGACACATGGAAATGCATAGGTAATCCTTTGCATGTCCACCGACATGCCAAGTTTCAGCTCAACCAACCCAGTCGTAAAGTTATTGTAGATCGAACAAATTTGTCACCACTTATCTGGCACGTGGCACGTGCCGTGTCCCTCGCCCTATGACTTTGTGCTATGCTCAGGTGATTTAGCTTGGACGCTTCTACATTGTAGATGTGGTCTTGTTCCGTTCCGTCGTGCTATTTACGAGAACGAAGTGGATAAACTTTCGCCTTTTCCCCATAGACAAAGGATTGTGTCATTAGTTCGTGCCCTTACACGTACGATGGCGCTAGTGTCGCTCAGCGGGAACGGCTTCCAGGCGCTGATTAAGCCGGTGTAGTCTGTATATACTTATAGGTAAATGTGCTAGGTTAGGTTAGGTCAGGTTAGGTTATGTTTGTTATGGCTTATTACGGAGCGAGCGGAGCGAGCGTAGTCTTGCCTTAGATTAACGGAAATTTCTGAGTATGAGCGGCCGGCCGGCCGGCCGTGCGGACGCTTTTGCGAGGCTTATATCTCAGCAACCACTTGACCGATTTACACGCGGTAATTTTTGTAGGGTAGCTTCATTCCTTCTACCAAGTATTGGACTATTCCCGATGCATGTGGGTGACCCCTTATGCACGTGCCACGTGCAAAACGAAGAGGTGTCAGTTTTGTAATTGTTGCAATATCTCGGTAACTACTTGGCCGATTGCGCTGAAAGTTGGCATGTAGGTAGGCACCCACTAGGCACTGCATATCCATGTGCCAGAGTTGGGGTGCTGCTGCACGTGCGCACGTGCAGGGGTCGTTTCCAGATCTCGAGAACGGCTGGACCGATGGCGCTCAAATTTGGTACACGGTTAGGGACCAGTTAGAAGGGTGCCGTGCACAAGTCAGTTGGGACCCATTTTGCACGTGCGCACGTGCAGGGTACCGCTCCCAGATCTCGAGAACGGCTGGGCCGATTGTTCTCAAATTTGGCACATCGCTAGAAACCGGTCAGTAGGGTGCCGTGCACAAGTCAGTTGGAGGTACCCCCTCGAAATTTCGCATGTGCAGACTCACCCCCTCGCTCGCTCCGTTAGTCGCCCCAAAAGGCGCTATACTGGTTTATATCTCTATCTTTAGATTAGAAAGAAGCATTTCTATACTCAAGGTCTGAAAGGTCTTCCAGCATATCACAAGTTTTAGGTCCTGACCCCTGGGTTTCCATGGTCTCACGACATATTCAAATGCTAGATCCTGGGTTTCAAAGGTCTCATGGCATATGAAATGTTGATATCCTGGGATTCCAAGGTCTCACGGCCTATGCAAATGTTGAGGTCCTGGGATTTCAAGGTCTCGCAGCATGTGACAATTTTGAGATCCTGAGTTTCCAGGTCTCACGACAAAAAATGGCAATGCAAGGTCCAGGATCCATCAAGGTCCCAGACCTTGGACTCTGCGGATCCTGGATCTCGGACCTTTTTGGGACCTTGGCACAAGTCTGCTAGAAGAAGAAGTTGTTGCTTAGTGATATCATTTGCTTTAAGAAGGCTGAACGTTTTGAAAATGGGATCCGAGTGAGCAAGTTTAGGCTGATTGTCAATAATTCTGATGATACGTTTCTGAAGGATTTCAATTTTGTTTAGGTACGTTGGAAAAGTAAAGCCCCATACGACAGTGCGGTAGTTTATGTAGGGCAATACCAAGGAGTTGTAGAGCAAAAGAAGTAATTTTCTGTCTGATAAGTGCTTGATTCTGTTTATAATTCCTATGTTGCGGCTTATGGCTAAGGTAAGATAGTTGATATGGGCAGACCACTTTCATTTTGCATCAATTTATACCCCCAAGTACTTTACTGTGTCTTCCCTTTCGTACTTTGCTGTCAAAAACATATCAAATAGAACGACAGTCAATCAAACCAATGTCAACAGTCAAACGACAGTGTTTAAAGGTATCTTGGCCATAGGTTGAGAATTGCGCCGAGTTGTGGGTGCTCGGGCGCATCAAATCCGCCGCGGCCCTAGCGGTCCGTCTGTGGTGGCCCGCGTGCTGACCCGTGCCGTGTCAGTGTCGTGACACCCGCTGACCGCCGTTGCGTGCCGGTGCCTGCAGGCGCGCTCTCAGCTGCTGATCCTGGACCGCGGCTTCGACGCCGTGTCGCCGCTGCTGCACGAGCTCACCCTGCAGGCCATGGCCTACGACCTGCTGCCCATCGAGAACGACGTCTACAAGTACGAGGCCAGCAAGGGCGACGGCCTGAAGGAGGTGCTGCTGGACGACAATGACGACCTGTGGGTGGAGCTGCGCCACCAGCACATCGCCGTCGTCTCACAGCAGGTCACAGCGGGTCTCAGCGGGGTCCTAGCGGGCACAGCAATATAAATGGCACCATAGTGTTCCTGAGCTCAAACTGCATCTGATAGGCACATTTTTTTGCCCGTTTTGCTCGCTAAAACACGTGCTTATTCGAAAACCATACCTACTTGAAGCCAGAGTCCTTTTGAAAAAAAACGAACTAGATTATAGCTTTAACCCGCGCCCGGCTGGGGGTCCTGGATTTCCACGCCCTGCGGGGGGGGGGGGTGTTTGAACACCACCACCCCCCTCCACTTGTAACTCGGCTCCTGGGCCACGTAGCGATACGCGGAAAGCGGTGTTCGAAAGAGCGTCAAAAATAATGACGAAATCACTTCGGTCAATTTTTTGGTCAGGTCAAAGGTCAGGTCACCAGAGGTCATTGAAGGCAAAATTTCGCCGATTTCCAGGTCGAATGTCGAAAATTTCCAAGAAGCCAACGCATAACTCGGGAACCAATAGAGCTACAGCGCCGCGGAAAAGCGCATTCGATAGCCCTATTAACGCCCTTTCTGAGTAATTCTCTCAGATTTGACCTAACGTCAACGGTTTTGCCTGCAGGGGGCAAAAACTGCAAAAATAGCCGATTTTTTCGGAAACAGTTTTTCTGCAATAACTTTTGACCCAAGCCCTGTACGAGCTTACTTTTACCGGCATCGTGTTCCTCTCGTCAAGACGCATCGAATGAACAATAACTTGGCCTTGAAAGGTCAACTTGAAAATTTGACCTCAGGTCAAGGTCATGACCTGACCGGAAAGGGTCATGTTGCATATCCAGGGGCCCGGGAACGATTTTCAAGTTGGGGGGCGAGCCTAAAATACCTGACATGATGCATATGAAACAGTGGCGTAGCTAGGGGTCTAAGGGGACACATACCCCCGTACCCCCCCCCCCATCGGGTTCAAAGGGACTCTCGGGTCCGACGGGCTCTGCGGCGCCAGTTGACCGCTGAGGGTTAACGATGGCCATATTTCGACTCAGAAGGGCTCCATGGGGCTCGTTAGAGCACCTCATGGGCCTTAAATAGGCACACTGAGATCTCCATAAGGGCCCCACGCCGGCTTCTGAGGGCCTCTTGCGGCTTTTAAGGGCCCGTCGATGGTCTCCAAAGGACCGTTACTGGCCTCTGAGAGTTCTTACCAGCCTATGAGGGGCCAGTTCTAGGGGCATGTCCCGCCTGTGATGATCCCACACTTATTTTTCTGAGGGCCCCATAACAGCAACTGTGGGGACCCTCATCGGCGCCTATGAGGGCCCACACCGGTGTCTCTGAGGGTTTCACACCCTCAACTCTGAGTGCCTACACCACTGCCTATTAAAGCCCTATATCGGCGGCTCAGAGGACCCAACGGCCAACACCTGCGCATCTAAAGGTCACCCACGGATGACTTTTGAGGACCCCACACCAGTGACTCTGAGGGCCCCACTGCACTGTCGGCGGTTGGGCCGGTCTAGCCTCTCACGAAGCAAAAAAATTATTTTGCTTTTATGAAAACAAAAGGCACACCATTCGACTGCTAAATGTCCATACATTACGTACATGACATCGACTTGGTCATGCAAAATCTTGGTATAGGGTGAATGGGGCCCCAAACACAAAGTTTTCTTCGGCCTTAGACAAGTCATATTTAACGGGTGTTTTAAAAGTCAAAGTATATGCCATGGGGATCCTATGTGCGTAAGCTTTCCACGTCAATGGTTTTATGGGTTGTTCTATGACATGTTACGATTAATTGTGCGCTAAGAGAAATGAGATTAGGCAAACCATTTAGCAACATGAGAGATAAACATATCATCGAGTTATCTCGTATGTTTCAAAATAATATCATTCACTATGTTAGAGCCGATCTTTTGAGTTCCCCCAGGTCCCGCGCTAAATCGTATATCACAATGTGCAATGTGATGTTATTGAACTGGGCAAGCAATAAAAAAGTGCGCAAACTTGCGCCTTTAGCGGCTATGCAACATTTTGCAATACGCTGTTTAGCCTTCATTAGCTCCGTAGTGACGGAAGCGAACAACTCAGCCTCGCATTTTAGCTTAAAGTATTTCAAGCGATGACATTAACACCAGCCAATGCTATCTCGTGGGTCAGAAGCATTCTAATTGACCGGAGGATGAGCTGTCACGTGACCGGAAAGGCCTCAGGCGATGCACAGTGGGCGATCTGGCCGGCCTGGTTTCGCGCAACCTCAAACACATTTTGTTTCCCAAAAATTGAAAAGTAATGCACACGTGTGAATGTGAAATTCTGCATAAGTCACGAATAATGCATTTAACGGCCGAGGGGGGGGGGGCGGGGCGGGTGCCCACCCTCCCCCCCCCCATATATTTTTTTCGCGATAGCTTGGAACACGCCGGCGATAGAGAGCTGAAAGTTGGCATAACTGACCTTTGCTTTAGCCGGATCATGTGACACCAACCGCATTTTCAGGTCAGGTCAGGTCGCTGGCCTATGACGTCATACGTGAGCCTTTGCATGGTCCTCAGATGTTAGCGAACAGCTCAGCCTTGCATTTTAGCTAGTGTTGACGATAAGACCAGCCAATGCCAGCTCGAGGGCCAGAAGCTCTCCTCATTGGCCGAAGGATGAACTGTCACGTGACCGGAAAGGCCTCAGGCGATGACCTGCTCGCCGACTCCAGAGCTGACCCACACTTCAGATCTGCCTCACAATACCAGCTGCGTTCTGCACAGTCAGGTACGTAATAACTTTTGGAGTGGAATATTATGAGTGAAATGGTAACTGGAAATATGTAGGTTGATGTTTAATTCCGTTAACCAAATGTATTGATGGTTCATTGTACCTACATGCACACACATAGGTATTTGTCATCCTTTCCTTTTGGGGGCATATTATCCAACCTTTGTGGATTACAACAGTCAGCAAACGCATGATTATTTTACGTACTGTTTTTTTAACGTTATTTAACGTATTATTACACGCATTGGGTATTTAATTGTTTTTGTATTTGTGCTTTTAAATGTGTTTGGGACAAACATAGGGATACATTTCCTGCAGTTACACTTTGGTAATAATACTCTTATTTTCCCAGGTAATGTGCGTGAAAAGGCAAGCAGTTTTCGATTACGTAGTGCAGCGTGGGATTGGAAAATCAACTGCCAATGATGTGGCGCACTTCTTGGCGAGAAGGTTCAACAAGGAGGTGTCTGCCTCCTTCAGACCAGTCAAGAAGCTGATGTCATTGCTGAGGAAGAGATGGGTAGCTTCAAACAGGAAAAAGGAACGGTTTCAGACCGCCAATGCAGCGTGGCTCGGAGGCAGCATTTGCCTCCCGCTGCCGGTCTGTGGCCGTCCAGGAGTGCGTCGTACGGCTCAATTCAACGAGCTGAGTCGCCAAAGCAGGCTCCGCGTTACCAGGGAGCTGCGACGGAAGTCCGGCAGGGAGCTGGTGTTCGCCGCCGCGTCAGTCACGTATCAGGAGGGGCGCCGCTCTGCCAGCAGACTGGTAGAGGCGGCTGGCTCTCCGGTGCGGGGCCCACCCCTGGTAGCTGCCTTGTCCGCTGGGCAGAGCGCACCACAGGCCTACACGCCAGAGGAAGCTCTGGCTCTGCTGGTGGATTTGGGCCTGACGAAGGCCCAGTACGTGAGCATTCAGCAGGGAGCAAGACGTCGCGGCGCAGTCATCTACCCCCACTACGACAGAGTGCGCCAGGCAAAGACAGCTAGCATGCCGCCGCTCAGCTCCATCACAGTGGCGGCCGGCGCCGCCGAGGTGGACCTCCAAGCACTGCTAAACCACACGGCTGAGCGGCTGCTGCGGATTCCTGCTGTCTGCGAAGCCGCCACAGCGTTGCACCACTCTGCGGCCGACCCGCCAGCCGAGCTCGCTGAGCCGCCCCGTCTGACGCTGCACATCAAGTGGGGGATGGATGGCAGCACCGGGCACAGCCAGTACAAGATGGCGGACTCCGAGGACGACAGCCAGCTGCTGCAGACGTCCCTGGTGCCTCTGCGGCTGACTGCCGAAGACGGGAAGGTCCTGTGGACCAACCTGTCTCCGAGCTCCCCCCGGCTGTGCCGTCCTCTCTCCATTCGCTTTGCAAAGGAGACGACGACGTTGCTGGTGGCCGAGAGGGAGCGGGTGAGCAGCAGGGTGGATGAGCTGCAGCCGCTTCACACCGAGCTGGGCATCGTGACGTACAGCATGGCGTTGACCATGGTTGACACCAAAGTCGTCAACGCCGTGACAGGCACCGCCTCTCAGCGCTGCAGCATGTGTGGTGCGACGCCGGCCGTGATGAACGACATCTCGGCAGTCACCGGCCGGCCCGTCACCAACACCGAGTACGGCCTCAGCACCCTGCACAGCTGGATCAGGGTGTTCGAGGCCGTGCTGCACATCAGTTACCGCCTGTCCCTGGACCAGCCGAGGTGGCGAGTCCGGAGCGACGACAGGGAGCAGATGAAGGCGGCGAAGGCCGAGGTGCAGCGGAGGCTCCGCGACTCTATCGGCATCCGGGCTGATGAGCCGCGCTGCGGTGGCAGCGGCAATTCAAACGACGGGAACACTGCCCGTCGGGCCTTCAGGGCACCAACTGAGTTCGCCGCTGCCACAGGGGTCAGTGAAGACCTGATCCGCCGTCTTCGTGTCGTGCTGGAGGCGGTGACGTGCTGCGAGCCGCTCTCGGTGCCCGCGCTGATGGCCTATTGCCTGGAAACGGCGCGGCTGTATGTACAGCTCTACGGCTGGTTTCCAATGCCGCCGACCCTTCACCGCCTGCTCATACACTCGGCGCAGGTGGTGGAACAGTGCCTGCTGCCGATCGGGCTGATGAGCGAGGAGGCGGCCGAGGCCCGACATAAGGACCTACGCCTGTATCGACTGCGCCACACACGCAAGGACAGCCGGCTGCACACCATGTCTGACCTGTTCGGCCGTCTCCTCGTCACCAGTGACCCGCTCATCAGCAGCCTTCGTCTCGAAGAGAGGCGCGCCCGGCAAGTCAGCCGCCACGG